ACTTCTGATACAGTCTAGGGGTATCCAATTAGTTTTCTCTGCCAGCTAAAGAATAAAAAGGCAGGAAAATCTGAAGCGCAACAATGGCAGCAGACAGACCTCAAACACCGCAGACAGAATCAGCAGTTGGAGAAAGGTGTTATTAGGAGTGAGGAAACACAGGAGCAGCAGACACACAGAAGAAAGACTCTGCAGAGCAGGGGGCGAGACAAAAGCCTACAGAGCCTTTGGTTTCAGCTGCCAAGCTTTTGTCTCAAGCAAGAAAGGTGGAGGAAGGAGTTGGCCATCTTGGTGGCCATTTGCCACCTTTATTCCCTAGCATGGCCCCCTCCCTATCTGCCTGCCACCAGGGAGTCTGTCAACTCCTGATCTCTCAGCAGAGAAAAAGGCAAAGGCATATTAACACACACACCATATGGAAAAGGACAGCCATATTGGAACTTCTTCCATGGATGCTCCCTGCTCAGGCTGCTCAGCCTCAGTTGTATGCCTTACTAGGCCAGAGCCAGGACCACGTAATCATACCTCCGCAACTCATCTTTGGTTCTGTCAGGTCATTGTTTCAGTGAAAAGTACTACGTGACAGACTTTTCTTGGAGTGACCCAACAGAACGGTCCAAAGTAACAATTGCATCATCAATGTCCAAATTGATGAACCAATGAGCTTTTGTTTGTTTGTTTGTTTGTTTGTTTGTTTAAACTGGTGTTACCAACACGAGTGTGGGTAAGAGGTTACTTAACAAGAAGCAGGGATGCCTCAAAAGCAGCTGCACTACCAGAAAGCCCACGCCAACAGGGTGATCGCTCTGACCTGCCGCTCTGCAGAAAAAGATGTTTGCACCTCAGAGCTATGCGTGAGCTGTGCGGAGAGCTGCAGCGCTGCAGTCTTCAGCAGTTGTCCTCCACGTCTGCCGTGACTAGATATCGGTGGGAGGAAAACACCTGACATCAATTACTTTGCTGGGTGCTCCAAGTTCTTCTTAAAGGACATGTTGTGTCGGGAGCCATGCCAGAGCAACAGCTAAACAGCTCCAGAACTCCTGGAATGTGGCTCACCAGTCAGCACAATCTAGATGAGTTTGTCTTGGAGAGGCACAATCCCAAGGGGTTCATGTCCTGAGTATCAAGCTGTTCCGGAGCACAGCTCTGCTTGCTGCCCCTGTGGTCGCCACATCCTTCATAATAATGAGTTGTATGAGAACTCTAAGCGGGCTTCCAGCCCCTCACTGGGCAGTATCACTGGCCCTCACAATAACAATGCTTGATCTCTTTGCTGGGACACATTAATGATCCAACCACCACCCTTGAAAAGAACTTACAGATGTAGATGGTCAGCAATGATCACCACCACCCGTAGAAAAAATTTGGAAAAATACATTGTTTAGAAAGGTCAGGTAAAGATGGTTTTGCTAGGGGCTCTGACGTGGAAAATCTTAGGGAACAGTTTGAAGTCTAGAAAAGTGCACTCTTAATAGTCAAGCCAGGGACTTGTTGAGGTTGTTGAGAACCATACCACAGTTAGCACTAGCTGACGTGACTCTCTCACTGAAGCTGGGCTTTCAGGGTGATTGATTTCTTGTACTTATTTTTCCCTCGGCTTCCTGTTATGATTTAATAAAAAGTATTAATGAGGATTTAAAGTAGAGATGGCTGATTGCTTTTTATGTAACAGTTGAGATTGGTGACTTTTGAGACTTTTGACAATTACTTTTTAAGATAAATGATTCTCTCCTTGTAAACACAAACTGCAGCCTGCCAATGAAGAAAAACTGGCTGAGAAATCTCGATTGCTCACCTGCTTAACTCATAACAGGTTGTCTAGTTATTAATTGTAGTGAGTGTATATGAGTTCTTGGGAATAACTTGTTTTTCCTGTTTGTTTTTCACCCATAATACATAAAGCATTTGATCACGTGAATGTATTGAAGAATATGTTTTTATTAGGTATACTCACTGTAATCATTCACTTGAAAAAAAATAGAATGTAACCACATTGTGATTTTTGTACTGCTTGAAAGATCTTGCTGGGATGTACAAGCTGTGGGGAAAAGAGTAAAAGTGTGGTTTGAAACTCGCTCTTTGGAGATTGTTCCATATACCAAGATGTATGTTTATGCGTGTATGTAAGGTGGTTTGGGGCTCACTCTTCGCAGTTTGTTCCGTCCACCAAGGTGTGGATGTGTATGTATGTATGTATGTATGTATGTATGTTTGTAAGGTTGGGTTGGAGCTCACTCTCTGGAGTTTGCTCCATCCACCCAATATGTGAAGGTGTGTGCATGAATGTACAAATGTATGTATATATGTAAGTATGTGTATATGTATGTGTAAAGCAGAAGAAGCCTGTAAGAGAAGCTAAATAAAGAGACGTTAAATAAAGAGAAGTAGCTTATTGGAACCTCCCTGCTGGAGTCTGTCTTACTTCATCATCAAGAGTAAGTGTGTGTGTGTGTGTGTGTGTGTGTGTGTGTGTGTGTGTGTGTTCTTTTTCTTTCCCCTCTTTTCTTCCTTTCTTAGATGCTTTGCTATTACCAGTGGAAAGCCAAAGCTAGAAATCAACAGACCCAGCTGATGATTATCATAATAGATGTAAGCCCACACCAGAAAGCTACTAGCACTGGCAGATGCCAGCAACTTAATTTTGGCCCCTCAGTTTGCCACTATCAGTTCCAGCCCTGGAAAATTACCCTCAGAAATGTCTGCTGGGCCAGCAGCCAGCAGCCGTGGATCTATTCCCTGACTCAGTTTCCCCTAGTTGGATGTCACAGCTGGTCTTCAACAATATTGTGCATCACAAAAAAAAAATGATAATTTCATTAGCACTTTCCAAGTTAAATTCCTTCTTGTGACCAAAAACAGACACTTCTTACATGTAGCAAATATATATTTTAACTACTCTGAAATATTGAACTGTTTACTTGTGAAGTCATTTCTTCCGTAAGAATGGATGATTTAAAGTGACTATCCTAAAAGTCAGACCAAGGTATCAGATGTATCAATTGTTCATTTATTTCTAAAAGGAGTAGACTAAGGCAGTGAATGTATTCTACATCTCTCCAATTGTATACATTTGTCATAACATGATGGATATCATAAAACCGGCCCATTTTCTTGTAGATAACTTACAACTCAAATTCTTAAAGTGGGAAGCCATGTGCTAATATTTGTCTCCTGGAGAAGAACTCATTACAGAGAAAATAAAACACTTTCACCTTGGACACAAAACCAATCATTTCCGTGGGCAAGGGTAGGAGAGAAAGGAAGATGAACAAGCTCCTCCAGTCTCCACAAATGGGATCAAACGTTGATGCAAAACAAGTAGAAACGGGCACAAACAAAGCTTGGTTCTCCAAAACTCCATCACACATTTATACGGCGGGGATAAATTGTGCCTGTGAAAGAGTTAGGGGCTTCATGGGGTTTCAAGAGTTGAGGATTAACGGGGGCTGGAGAGATAGCTCAGTTGGTAAAGAGTTTGTAAACATGACGGCCTGAGTGTGAGCTCCAGAATCTATGTGAAAATGTGGAGTCCAGCGTGGCGTTTTTATAATGCCTGCACAGAGGGGCTGGAGACAAGGCGACCCCCGGGGCTGTCAACAGCTGACCAATCTGGCCTAAGAGGCAAGTCCAGGCTGTAAAGAGTAGACTGGGCTTCCTGAAGTGACACTTGAAGTTGTCAAGCTGTCTTCTGACCTACACAGGTTTACACAGACACAATTATTTTGCTACTGTTGAGGATTTAAAGGAGATGTCCCTCTCTTCTACCGCTTCTGGTGTCTATCCTGTTTGCCATTCTGAATGCGATTTAAGCATCCTGCCTAGGGTCCTCCTTGGTGTTTAGCTTCTTTAGGGCTGTAGATGGCTATCCTATATTATACAGCTAAAATCTGCTTATTAGTGAGTGTATACCATGTGCGTCTTTCTGTTTCTGGGTTACCTCACTCAGGATGAACTCTTCTAGTAGGATGGGAGTCTACTACAGCAGGTCCTCTGAAAGGATTCACCCAACAGGGATCAAAGCAGGGCCAAACTTTGGGTAGAGCATAGGGGGTCTTATGGAGGAAGAAAGGGGTGAGATTAGAGGGACATGGAGGGGACAGGAGTCCCACAAGGAGACCAACAAAACTAAAAGATCTGAGCCCAGGGGGTCCTGCAGAGACTGATGCACTAACAGAGGTCCCTACATGGAGAGGCCCAAGACCCCTGCTCAGATGTGGCCTATTGGCAGCTCAGTCTCCCTGTGGATCTGTGAGGGAGGGGATCAGGAGCTGCCTCTATCATGAACTCAGTTGACTGCTCTCTGACCACTCAACCTTGATGATGCAGCCTTGCCAGGCCAGAGGAAGAGGACCCAGGCACTCCTGATGGGACTTAACAAGCTATGGGCAGATGGCAATAGTGGAGAACGCCCCCCTTTCAGTGGACTAGGGGAAAGAAATGAGGGGAAGAGGGAGGGAGGTTGGGACTGGAGGAGTTGAGAAAGAGGGCTTCAATCGGGATATGGAATGAGTATATTGTGAAGAAAAAAAATCAAATTAAAAAAATAAATAAATAAACGAGATGTTGCGGGGTGGCCCTTGGCAAGAAGCACTCAGGGACGAGTGCTAGGAAAGCATCGGCTGCCAGCCTGCCACTCCTTCCTGGGGACTCAGTAACTAGCCCCTACCTGCCTACCCTGACCCTATCTACCCTGAGCCCATCCCGGCAGGTTAACTTTCCAGAGAAGTAACGACGTCATGGATAAGCTCGACTCCTTGGGCCCCAAAGTCCGGAGACACAACCAGGCTCTGCGCCAGAGCCGGCTTTCCGCTCGGTCTCGGGCAGCTCTCCGGGACACCTCGGGCCAACTGAAGCCACCCCAGGCCACTGCCAGCCCCAGCGCCCTCCGTCCGCTGCCAGGTAGGCGGGGCCGATCACCTGACGGCGCCGGCCAATCCTCAGCGCGCGGTCTCACGTGACCGCCGCCCCGCCCGCCCCGCGCGGCCTCACGTGACCGCCGCCCCGCCCGCCGGGACCGGGCTCCCGCTGCGCGCCGTGTGACAGGCAATCTAGGCGCCGGTGGTCCCCGGGGTGGCGATGGCCGTCACCCTGCAGCGCATCGAGCAGCTGTCCAGTCGGGTGGTGCGCGTGTTGGGCTGTAACCCGGGTCCCATGACCCTGCAGGGCACCAACACGTACCTGGTGGGGACCGGCAGCAGGTAAACGTCTCTCCCGACGCCACCTCGCGCGGCGGGAAGGCGACGAGGGGTCAGGCCAGCCCCCCGCGGGTCCCCCTCCCCGAGCTCCGCGTAAGAAAAGCACAGACTTCCCGCTTCAGAATCCCCGTTTACTTGTTGTCCGGCTGCCCGCAGGGGATGCCCGAGTCAGTTACCTGGAGCCTGTGCGTATGCACACTCCAGTGTTTGGAGTGCAGAGGCTGGAAGGTCGCTCGAGTTCGAGGCCATCCCGGTCTCTATAGCCAGTTTCAGTCGTGAAAGCTATTGACTCTGCCGAGGCCATTCTCTTACGGTAGAGGGCAGGATTTTGCTTCCAGCTCAACCCGAGTCTAAAACCGGGTTGGAGGAGCTGAGTCAGTTTGCTTTTCCTAATAATCGTGTGCAACAAGTATAGCTTGTTTGCATTTAAAGCCTTTGCTATATTTACCCTTCTGGAGTAAAAGAAATTTACAAACAGCTGACTGTAAGGAAGTGGAATTATTCCGGGTCATGTAGGCAAATAAGGTTAAGCCCAGAGTGAATAAAGCCAGGGTCACATACAGGACCCTGTACACTTAGGCTTCCTGTACACTGTTGGGGAATAGAAAATTAAGCAGCATAGTGCCTAATCTCTAGGAAGAGTCTGGCTGGGCTGCCCTCAGCCCAGTGAGTACACAACATTGTCTTTTGTTTTCCGTGTGTCATTTTAAATTCATTCTGAAGTCAGTACGGAAATTGAAGAGTCCACATAACCCAGGAGAATGCCCTATTGGAGTTCAGCAGGTGGTCCCAGTATATTCAACTCAACCTGCTTTTCTTTGAGGGCTAAAACGGTTGGCTTGCATTTAGAGGCTAAACGGTATGAAAAATACACACTGTACCCTTAAACGTTTGAATCATAACAAAATGCTCTTGCAGAAAGAGACTTAAAATAGCTGAAACTATCTGAGAAAAAGCAGATCCAGTTTCCCATCTGAAGCAACTTAACAGTTACTAAGAATCAATGTCTAATGATGGAATCGCTTGCTCCACTTGATAATTTTACTTATATAGGTTATTTAAGCAGTAAGTAAAGCTAAAATGATTTGTGTGCAGATGATGCAACTCAACATAAACCAAAGGATGACTAGAAACAGGTATTAGCTGGGTCCAAATCAGATGTTCCAAGATTTGTGTCCACTATTTCACCTCAGGAAAATGTCTAAGGCCATAGGTAGCTCTGTGTTGGTAAACCCAATGGCATTTTTATATTTCTCTTTGGGATTCATTGGCCTTTCCTTTCTTGATTTGCTAACACAACATCCTCTCTGGCTGCTGTTCTCTCCTTCTCCCTCTCCGTCAGATCCTTGCCTTCCTCTAAATTCGTGTGACTTAATTACATTTATATGTTATGTGTGGTGGGCTCACACACCATGGCTGGAATATTGAAGTGGGAAGATAACTCATAAGATGCTACTCTTCTCCTCTCACCCCGTTAGTCCTGGGGTCCAGACTCAGTTGTCCGACTTGGCAGCACCCTTGCCGTTGCGCCGTCTCTCCTGCCTCCTCCTAACCGCTTGTGATGATTCGCCATGACTGTCAATTTGACTGAATTTAGAATCACCTGGAGTACAACTTCCGGGAGGGAATTTCAAGAGAAGCTTAACTGAGGCAGGAAGCCCTACCCTGAAGAGCAGAAACATACTCAAGTCCTAAACCGAAGTTTTGAGGAGAGAAAGCAAATAGAGCACCAAGTATTCCTCTCTTCTCTCTCTGCCTCCTGCTGCACAAAAAAGTGACCAGCTGCCACTTCTGCTGCCACAGCTAGAGTGGCTCTACCTCACACCGTCTCTTTCACAGTGGCCAGTGTCCTCAAGCTGAACCAAAATGAACCCTTCCTTCATTGCTTTTTGTTGTACTGTGTCACAGCAATGAAAAAAGTCATTTATACAGCACTCCTGTTTGTACACTACTGTTAAGAGGATCTTCCCTGCTTCCTTGGCTTCACGTATCATCTGTTTATTAATAACACTCAAATTTAAAACAAAAGCCCAACTTTGATCAGGCTCATAGCTGGCTGCTTTCTTAACTCTCCTGCATTATCAGTGCTTTTCAGACTGAACTCTGTCTCTCCTCTTAAAGTTACATCCAGGCCCCCCTGAATTGCTGGCCCCTTTCTTGGTAAACAGAACCATCGTTATTTGATCAAACAAAATGTCTGAACTGTCCCTAACATGTCTCTCCTCCTGACACACATCCAAACCATCTTGTAAATCTGTTTTTGACTAGTGTCAATCAGTTCAATTCTTAGAAAAATGTCAGTGCTAGCCTCCTAACCGGTTTACCTGCCTCTACTTCTGTCCATTCTCCCACTGTCTTGTTCATCTTAAAAGGCTGTGTTTCCACCATGCTGGTCTTCCTGGTGTCCCAGAGGAGGCATAGTTATCCATCCAGGGTTTGGTTTACACTTTCTTCTTTCTCCCACTTCACCTGGCCAGCTTCATTTACCCTTTAGAGCTCGTGTGAAATGTCATTTCCTCTAAGCAGCCATTGATTGCCAATAGCACTTTATCTTGGGGTAAGGCCTTGAGAGATTTCTTACATGCACGTTAGCATGTCAGCTGGTGTTTGTTTGTCATTGTTCAGGTTTTGTTTAGGCGATACTGTTGTTAAAATTTCATGAGTGCAGCCTCCCTGTCATATAGAAAACAGTATCTTGCAGCAAACATCCAAGTTCTCTTGCTTTTACACCCCCCATCACACACACACACACACACTTCTGCCGTATTCTCTGAGCCTTTGTGTAGGGGTTGTATCATAGATGTATAAATGAGGGTTGGACTCTCTGCGGTCAGCTAACCTTTGCTTGCTTCAGAGTCATGGCTGTTTCCTAGCTGTGAGACTTGAAATGAGATGGTTATGTTCATTGTCTGTACAATGAATTTTATACTGCCTTCTTCATAGGAATATTCTGAGGATTTACTGAAATCTAAATGAAAGCGTTTATTAAAAACATGATCTTATCATGAAGAAAGTGTATTACAAAGTTGGTTTTCACTTCTGCGGCCCTATAATATGTTGGCAACACTGGGCTCATAGTAGATGGTCAAGAACTATCAAAGATTTTGGTTGAATGACAACAAATGGACACAGAGCAGGTAGGAGCTATCCTATCATAGTACTGATATAATCTTATTAATTTAAATCTCTATAAAGCAATCGATTCTACTCACTCAGTTGAGTTTGTCTCTGTTCATATAACATATTATGTATCAGTTCCAGGCACTGAGTTCTGGTGACTAAATCAGCCCTCTAGACCTCTCAGATCCATCTTCACCGGAGATCTCTGTAGATCCATCTTCACTGTTCTCATGAACAGTGTATGATGAACACAACTTGTATTTACAAAGCGACCTCCTGAGATAGGGCTATTGGCTGTGATTGTAGATGATGAATTGACCAACACACACAAAGATGACCGATCATCACAGTAACTATTCACAAACATTACATACTGAATGACCAGAACTAGTTTTCTAGTCTAGACCTGATGCTTTATTTATGCCATAAGGAATGATCTTCGGGTGCTAGCCAAACCAGTGCTCTCCTCCAGAGGAGCCATGAGTAGCTCTGAGACCATCATTGGACCTTGTGTCGGCCTGAAAGACCAGGGATAAATCACTTAGCCTGTCTCACGCCTAATTTCTTTTCCTACAAAATTTTATAATAAGCTTCCTGGAGTTGAGATGAAGAGTAAAATATAATAACTATGCAGGCCAGGTAGTTTAAGTGTAAAATGCTATCTGTATGACATTTTCCCCCTTAATACTTGCTCAAACTCATTTTTTTTCCAGTTTTGTAACACCTGGATACTGCTTCATTCTGAGCAGGTTGTGTTTGTTCCAGGACTTGCATAAGTGCTGTTAGCTTCAATCCAAGTGCCTTCCTTTGCCAGTTCCAATTTTATTAGACCAGAAGTGGTCAGTTAGGCTACCAAAACCAAACAAATTAACAGATTGGAAGGCCTGGGAACCTCAGTTGCCAGAGGCTGTTTTCACTCAGGCTTTGATGTGCAAGCAGGCTAAGCAGGCGATCCAGAAGATCTGTTTCTCGTGTTACTAGGGTTTAAGTAAACCTGCTTATTAACCCTGGTAATTGGGCATAACTTTTTATCACCATGACATACCCTATAAACTAAAAATCAGTGTTAGATTGTCAGGTGTTTCCAAGCTGCTGCTTAGGAGGAGGACAAGGCAGTGGTTTAAATATGTTAGGAAGGTAACTTTGTGTCTTAAAAGTTTATAAGTTTATAGTATCCCCTCCCCCTCAGGTTTTTTGAGTCAGGGTTATCTCTGTGTAGTCCTGTCAGTCTTGGTCTCACTTTGTAGACCAGGCTGGCCTCAAACTCACAGAGATCCAACTGCTTCTGCCTCCCCAAGTGCTGGAATTACAGGCCACTGTGCCTGCATGAAAGTTTATAGTGTTCTTGACAAAAGGCATGGAAGGATTCTTTTTAAGGACCTTACGGAGTTAAAGAGCAGTAAGAATTTGTAATAAACATTTAAAACAAAAACAAACAAACAAACAAAAAACACAGAGACAGCCAAAAATCTAGGATCATGGACTAGGGAGTGTTTCATAGTACAGTTTTGTGTTTCCATTTCAGTGTGCCTAAACGTACAGATGGTCAAGCATTTCACAATTCCAAATGTCAAAATAAGTCAATGAACTCCTACAGCCAAACAAACAAGCTTCTTGCCCTCATGGGGCTCATATTTGTAAAGTGGTAAAGGGTTTGCAGATATCAATAAGTAAATTAACACATCAGTATATGTTACATAAATAATTGCGGGGGGCAGGGGGGATCAAGGAAAGGTGTCCAGGAATGCCATCTAAATTCACTGCAACCCAAATCAAACTCCGCTCTGAATTGCTCCCTCCAGTGTCTGCTCTCTTTAGTGCTGTACCCAGTACTCCACCTAGTGAAGTCTCAGAATGACTGAGCTTTTTCTTTTTCTGCAGGTCCTGTTACTTACACCTTCTATGTTCTCTATGCCATTTCGGGCCCTATGTAGGACCTTATGCTCCCTTGAGCCAGTGTGCCCATATACGGAAGAGTTTACAGTGTCTTCCTGAAGTCTGTCCACCAGTAAAGATTCACCGTAAGGTCGCTGTCCTCCTCCCCAATACTTAATTTTTTATCACAGTCGTGAATTTAGTTGTGTGAGTGTATGTGCATGTTTTTTTGTGTGTATATTGTGTGTGTGTGTGTGTGTGTGTGTGTGTGTAAACACATACACCAGCACGTGCATGTGGAGGTCATAGGACAACGTAAAGGAATCACTCTTCCTACCATGTGGGCCCCAAGGACGGAACTGAAGCTGTCAGGCTCAGTTGCTCGCGCCTTTACCAGTCAAACCATCTTGCTCACCGGAGAGGTCAATTTTTTTTAAGTTTTTTTTTTTAATTATAAATTATAAATATAATCTCCTCAAACATAATTTTTTATGAAAACTTCCAAAATCCTTTTAGCTTGTAAGATAACCACAATGTATTATCGTTTGTAGAAGTCACTCCCCTGTACAAGAGCACCCTGAACTTCCTGCTCCTACCTTTCCGTCTCCCTGTGCTGTTTGTATCCGCTGGAGAGATTAGAAACAAACCCAGCAAACATAATATAACCACTCATTTCTTTGTATCATTTTAGGGGGTGTGTATGTATGTTGTATATGTTCCCGTGGGTGTGTGCGCATGTACATGTGAGTGTGTAAGCGGGGCAGGGGGCGGCAGCGCGGCAGGGCTAGGGATCAGTGGCAGGTGTATTCCTCTATCGCTTTCTAACTTGTTTTTAAGACTTGGCCTCTTACAGCCTGGAACCCACCTTCTTGGCTCCTCTGACTAGCCAGAGAGGCCCATCATCCACCTGTCTCCTGGCTGGCCAGGGAGCCCTAGGATCTGAGGTTCCTCCCGCCTCTCTCCTGTGGACCTCCCACCCACCCCTACATCCATCCCTTCTGCCTTCCTCCTCCTCTCCCTCCTTTCCTCCTCCTAGCACTTGGGGTACAGGCCCAAGCCACCATGTGCCTGCCTTTTTTGGGGGGGTGAGGGGAATCTGGAGATCCTAATTTAGGTTCTCATACTTAAAAAACAAGCGCACAACCCTCCGAATCTTCCACCAGCTCCCTGTGTATTCGAGTTTAATGCCTGAGAAAATACTTTCTGCTAGATATTATTTTCTTAGTTTTCGGTCCTACACAGCTACCCGTCATTAGAAAATAAGCAGGCTTGTTTATATTCCTGCAAGAATTGATGGCGTGACACATAGTGGGTAAGCTGTAAACAGTTAGAGGTGAAGACTGAATGGATCGTGCTTATCAAGGCTAATCTTCCTCAGCCCAAATCAGTGGGGAGTTGCTATGAAATACCAAGAGTTTAAAAGTTCATGGCCAGGTGGTGGTGGCACATGGCTTTAATCCCAGCACTCAGGAGGTGGGGGCAGGTGAATCTCAGAGTCCGAGGCCAGCCTGATCTACAGAGTGAGTTCCAGGACAGCCAGGGCTACACAGAGAAACCCTGTCTCAAAAAAAGCAAACAAAACAACAAAAATATGTTTGTGAACTGGATCTTAAAAATAGTATCCTAATTCATTTCAGAAAACAGAAAAGTTAGTCCTTCAACTGCTGCGGAAAGCAAACAAAATAAGAAAATCATAGGCAAATAATGCAAAACCTATACACCAAATTATCAGTGTGTCTTAAATACAGAAATAAACTGGCTCATATTTTTCCCACATGGTTTCCCATAGGCCCTTTTCCTATGTAAGGGCACAATGTAATATTTTAGTGTTAAGCCAGGCAGTGGTGGTGCACACCTTTAATCCTAACTTCAGAGGCAGAGGCTAGCCTGGTCTACAGGGTGAGTTCCAGTGCAGCCAGAACTACACAGAGAAACCCCATCTTTGAAGAAACAAAGATTATACTGTTAGGCGATTAGTGCGGTAGTTTCTTTGCATTGCTTTTGTTCCTTATTGCACCTTAATATTACTCATCCCCCATTTTTATCCATCCCTCCTCTTGCCTCCTTGATGGTCTCTTTTCTCTTCTCACATAGTTCCTTTCCACTTTATTGTCATATAAGTACATCTGGGTGGGGGTTGGGGGTGTCTTTCCCCAGTTGGTCTATCTTGCTTACCCGTTCTTCCATTACCTCTTCTTCCCCATCCTCTTCTTCCTCACCTCTAGATACTTCCCCATCTACTTTCATGACCTATTAAATAAATATTTATTTATTGAAATCTAGATTCCACATTAGAAAACATTTATCATACGATTTTGATGTCAGGGTAATAGTGGTCCTGTGAAGTGAATTTGGTTGTTCTCAGTTTGAGTATAGGTGTTAAGCATACTTTTAAAAGCTTAGTAGAAGTCTGCTAGTAAATATGTCCACGCCTAAGCCAAAATTTCTTTGTTATGGATGTATGTAGGAATGTATCTATTTCTTCTAGATTATCCACTGTTTTTTTGGTTTGGGTTTGGTTTGTTTGTTGTTGTCTTGTTTCGTGAAAGTTTCAAAGATTTCTGATGACCCATTGGATTCTGTTCTATTCATGACATTTATTATTTTCTGTACTTTCATAACTGAAGCTCCTTCCTTGCGTTTAGGATTCCTTTTTGTGTTTTCTGCAGAGCTAGCGCGGCGCTCACAAACTTCCTTAGTTTATGGAGGTTGCCCTTCCTTGGCTGCTTATTGGGATTGCTTTGTTTTATTTTGATATATGATGAAATTGATACATCGAGGCTTCTTTTCGTAAACGGGGTGTGCAGTAGTGGCAAATTTTCCACTTCCCTTGGAGGAGGAATGAGAGGGGCCCTTCGCCTCAAGCTAGAGTGAAGGAGGCAGCAGTGACCAGAGCTCCTTGGAGTGTCTGCTGGTCACATAGAGATTTCCAGCCTGGTTTCCTCTTTTGTTTGCAGCCCAAGAGCCAGGGAAGAGGGTTCTTAACTCCTTGCTCTTAAGATGGAGCCTGTTATTTCCCATATAAAGCTAACGTTCAGTAATTTCTGGACGTCTCTGTTTTCCTCCTGTTTACTGTGGCCCTCTCCTGTCTTTCCACAGTTTGCAGTATTGGATTGGGTGTTTCCTTTCAGATTTGTGGGGACACAGCAGAGTGTGGTTTGTCCCTGTTTGGCCATAATCCTTTTATCAGAAGATCACATTTTTGTAGCTTCTGCTGCTACTTCTTTTCTTCTTCCTTCTTCTTCCTGTGATTATTACATTTCTCCCTTTCCTTCCTTCCCCCAAATCTTTCCATGTACCCGTCCTCACTCTCCTTCAAATTCATGGCCTCTTTTCTCACTAATAGTGTACACACACATATATTCCTAAATAAAACCTATTGACTTTGTATAATATAGTTGTATGCATGTTTTCAGACTGCTTGGCACTGGACAGCCAACTAACATTTTTTCCCGTGGGGAAGACCACCTCTCCCATTCACGGTTTTCTTCACTTCCTATCGTTGTTATGTTGGGTTGAGGCCTCATGGGTTTTTCTCCATCCAGTTTCTTATCTGTTGGTGTCATCACCCACATTTGGGTTCTTATGTGGATAAGACTTCATGGATGTACCTTCTGACGTTACTAGGAGACACAATCTCAGAGCAAACTCCCAGGTCCTCTGGTTCTTACCAGCTTTCTGCTCCCTCTTTCATAATGTTCCCTGAGCCTTAGGTATGGGGGTGTTTTGTAGATGTTTCCATTGGGACTGGGCTCCACAACTCTGTGTTTTGGTTGGTTGTATGTTTTTGTACTGGCTCCCATCTGTTGCAAACAGAAGTTTCCTTGATGAAGGATGTTTGTCTGTGGGTATAAACCTGTTCAACCAGAGGTACACCAGGCGTGGAACTGGAAACCTAGCTAACGTCCCCATGCTAGAGAAGCCATGGTCATTGGAGGAGACTCTACAGCCATTAATTTACTAAACCAGCATAATCCTAACAACAAGCTATAAACATGTCATCTCACCCACAAATAAGACTGCATTTCTTTAAAGATGCTGTTAAATCAAATCCTGTGAAATACTTGAGGAATTAATAACCCATCTGGAATGCAGACTACGTAAGAGCACATATTTTGCTATCAGAAAACCTGAGTTTGAATGCTGTTTCTACCATTTTATTGCAAATATAACACTAGGCAAGTTATTTAACTTCTGACCGTAATAATGAAATGCCTGCCTTAGGAATACATTTCAAATGGCGCTGTGTTTACTTTAATTGCTATGCTTGCTCCAGATCCCTGCTGACAGCCCTAGTTCACATTTACATTTAGCTATAATTTCTTTCTAAGAACTTCCTTACAGTAAGATTGCTTTAAACTGAAGTATTATGTTAAAAGCAACTTATATTTTCTTGGATTTAAACAAGTTATCTGCGTGAAAAATATTCCAATGTGAGCCCCAGGTTGCAGCTCTGACTGTCTTCGTGTCATTTGTAGGAGAATCCTCATTGACACTGGGGAGCCATCAGTTCCAGAATATATCAGCTGTCTAAAGCAAGCGTTGGTTGAATTCGGCACAGCAATCCAGGAAATCCTGGTGACTCATTGGCATCACGACCATTCCGGGGGGATAATGGATATTTGTCAAAACATCAGCAATGGTAAGCAGAAAACATGATGCTCACTGAGGAAGACTGGGCCTGACACATAACTTATCACTTAAACTCTCAACTATGTTGATATTTCTTTTATTTTGGTTTGTTTTGGTTTGTTTCTGAGACATGGTTTTCCTGTGTAACAGCCCTGCCTAGGCTCAGACTCACAGGGATCCCCCTGCCTCTGCCTCCCCAGCGCTGGGATCAAAGGCATGTACCACCACAACCAGCCTTTTTTTTTCTTCTTCTTCTTTTAAATACAACTTGAGTACTGTCAATTTTAACAGAGGTGGCATAGAAAGCTTTGTGCCCTTTCAAATCCTTTCCCTCTTCCTTTGGCCAGTGGTCAAGCTAAGCTTTCGTGTGTAGGCTCTGTGACAGCTTCAGACTTTAACAACGGATAAGGATCACTGTTTGTCTGACAGCACACTAAACGCTTCCTGTGGGTACCGTAAGGTCCTTGCTGTTAACTGTCTGTTCCCAAGCAGATTACACGAGGCCTTACATAATTTTAAAACAGCTACTAAGATATAGAAAATCCAAGCAACGAATTGGTATATTGTTAACCTTCTCCCCCTGAAACCTATCAGTATGGACATCTTAACTGTTCTTTCACTTCCTTTATCCTACCAATCAACATCCTAAGTGGAGACATCCATTGGCTAGACGTTCAATACCCACTGTGTGCCAGGTACTGTGCTTGGCCCAAAATGACAGCAGTGAACACAGGAGAGGGTGCCAAGCCAAACTCCACCAACCAGCTGCCATGGTTGGGAAGTTCCCCACTGGACCCCATGTGACAACAGACAAAATACAACACCCTGAAAGTATTAGATAAAATTACCTTTGGGATATCTCTAGAGAAAAATAGTTATAGGTTCCATACAAAAAAGCAAGTATTTGTATAATTACCACTCAGCTGATAAAAAGAAAGTAGAAGAGAAATTTGGCACAACCTTTTATAGTTACTAAAATTTTAGTGCTCTTTTTGAGAAAGATCTTGTTGTCTGCCCTTCTGGGCCTTACGGAAGCCACACAAGCTGTGTGTAGACTTAGGTTGGCATTGAAATGGTTCCAAGATGCTTTGCTTCATCATTCCTTTAATGTTCCACATAAATTCTTCCCTAAATCCCCAGTCACTACCTTCTTAGGCCCTTCAGTCTCACTGCTTCATATTGTTTTACTGTCTAGCTTCTGGTAGGACAAATATGGTTCAAGTAGTTTTTAGTGCTGGCTAGCTGTGTGTGTGTGTGTGTGTGTGTGTGTGTGTGTGTATTAGCTGCATGTATTTTATAGGCTATACTAAAATTTATAAATACCATTTGGCAAGTCAGAGTAAATTTAAAGCAACTAATGATGGATTTTTTTTTCCCCAAAACAAGCAGTATTTAGGGCTGGAGATTTGGCTCAGTGGTTAAGAGTTTATCCTGCCTTCCAGAGGACCTGAGCTCGCTTCCCAGCACCCATGTCAGGCTGCTCACAGCCACCTGTAACTCCAGCTCCAGGGGATCAGATGCTGTCTTTTGGCTCCTGAGCATACATGTGACACACATTCACATAAACATACGCGAGTGTGTCACACATTCACACATATGCACAGAAATAAACACAAAAGAGTCGCCTGGCGTGGTGGCACATGTTTTTAATCCCAGTACTAGGGAGGCAAAGGTAGGCAGATCTCTGAGTTCAAGGACAGCCTGGCTACAGAGCAAGTTCAGCCAAGGCTACACAGAGAAATTCTGTCTCAAGAAAAAAAAAAAAACAAAAAAAAAACGGTCAGTACAAGATGTAAATGTCGTTTCTCCCTCTGTCCCCAGCAGCACCCTAGCCTTTGTGACCTCCTGATGGACTGCTGCAGCTTCCAGCTTCTATTTGATTCCGCTGCACCACCCATCAACCTTTAAAAACTGCCATATTGCCCCTCCATTAATGCTGTCACAGATCTTACTGAGAACCATCTAGTGGCCACAGTGGCCAAGTTCATCTTACCTAGACAACTTTTCTCCCCTCTCCCCAGGCGGTTCTTTTCATTAACCAAGATGGTAGCATCGTCACACCCACAGCACACACACTCTCACTTCCGTCCGTACCTCTCCGAATGCTGCTCTTCCCTCTACCAGTTTTCTCCTGTAGCTTCCCCATCCCACGTGTCCTGTAACTCGTATCTCAAGCTCTGTCTCATTGCTCGATCCGTTCTCAAAAGCACGCTCTTTGTCTGCACTCCTGTTGCTTTCCTCTGCTGAGCTGCCTCTTCAGCATTCCAGAAGGAGCGTTCACTATAGGTCTTTCATTCCATCTGAAAGTTTCATTTCCCCAAGTAGGTCAGATTTTAAGTGCTTTTCATTCGCTATGCGTAGGGACTGTCCTGGTTAAATGGTTGACACTGCTGCTTGGTAAAGTTGGGTTTTTCCGTCATTGAGGAGTCATGTGTGTTAAATTCCACATTTAGAGTCTGGGGCCCTTTCAGCTCTAACAGCACAGACGGTTTTATTATTAACTATGGCCGTGAGTCCTTCACTGATAAGTGGCCACCCAGATAGAGAGAGGTGCTAGCCTCCCATCAGACTGTCTCCCCATCACCTCCCTGCTCTCAGAAGCTAGCTGAGATTATGAAGAACTACTCTGAATTTTTTACATAGACCAGAAAGGAGTAGAAAATCACAGAGGCTTTTATGTGCCCGAAAGGGACAGGGGAGAATAAAATGCTCTGGGAATATGTGAACTAGTGTTCTCTCAGAGACATGGTGCTTTAATTCTTCTAGTCTTCCTGTTGTCCTGATGCTAGCGTTCTGTGCAGCCAGTAGTGAGTGTTAGCTGTGTGAAGGCTGACCTCTTAAAAAGCTGAATCACTTTGGCATGGCATAATATATTTACATGTTTCATACTAGACACTGCCTACTGCATTAAGAAACTTCGACGGAATCCTCAGAGAGAAGAAACCATAGGAAATGGACAACAGCGGTATGTTTACATAGAAAATGGAGAACTGATTAAGACCGAGGGAGCCACTCTCAGGTAAGTAAATGTCTGGGGGAAAGGAGAGATGCCTGTGTGTGTGTTAAAAGGAAAGATGAAGGCAGAGTGAGGCATATCTGCCTGTGTGTGTGGAAGAAGCATGAATGTAGAAAAATCTTACACACTTAGTGTTCTCACGAAGGAGAATGGGCTTGCTTGCAAAACCAGAAAAGAAGGCGTGTTACTCTGTCTCCTTCTTCTGTTGCTCTTGGTGGTCTTTAAATTCATACCGCTGTTCCGCACAAATACAAATAGAAAAGACTAGGTCCAGGCATGACTGCTCATAGACCTCAGAGGCTGAATCAGGAATATTGCCGTGATTCAAGGCCAGTTGGCCCTACCTAATAAGTTCAAGTCAGCTTGGCTACAGCTGGAGACCCTGTCTCAAAAGCAAATTTATTTATTGTAAAAGTTAGCATTTCCCCCTTGGGTGATTCAAAAATCTCTCTGAACCTCAGTGGAGGGTCTTCTCAATGTTCTCACTTTGAGAAAGAGACTTTGAAGAAATGATGAATACTTTGGGATCGACCTGTTTCAAGGGTAAAGTATTTCCAGCCCAGATATTTTGAAAGCAAGCTAATGATAGTTTCTGTCTCCTAGAGTCTGTTCTTGCCTTCAGATCTCTGACTGTCCACTGTACTCCGTTCCTGGGATGTAATTCAGGATTGCTTTTAACCTTTTCACTATTTCTCACTTTTACCATCTTCCCTGACCCTTTATCAGACTGGGTGAGATTTTGCCTCAAAAGTGTTGGTCACAGACAGCAAGATGCTCAGTGGATAAAAACATTTTCTGCCAAGCTTAATGAGCTCTTCAGACCTACATGCTAGGAGAGAACTGACTCCCACAAATTGCCCTCCTACCCCCCCCACACCATGTCCCCACCCAACCCCCACATATAAATAAATAAAAATGTAATTAAATGAAATGTTAATGTTGCCCCCTCTTCCTGTCTACTGCTGTTACTTCCTCCCCAACCTCCATCTCCAGGCTTTTCCCTTTCTGGACTCCCCTCATCCCCCCTTCACTTGAACCCTTGATGATTCCCACAGGCTACAAGAAAATGTTGACTGCCTTTCTGTTCCCTGGGCCAGCCCCAAACAGCATCTGGTAATCCCGTGACCCTTCTCACAAACTATGTGTGTAACTCCCCTGGGCACATTACAGGCTCACACCTTTGTTAACGTCTTCCCTCTTCCTGGGCATTGCTCCTTTCCTCAGACTTTTCTCCCTGCTAAACTGTTGTCTGGCCAGGTCACAAGTTTCTTTGAATATCCTTCCTGAGCAGAATCAATTGCCCCTTCCTCAGGCTGTCATAGAATTCTTGTTGCTTCATTCAAGCATTTATTAATTGTGTTATAGTGTTTGTGTGTGTGAGTAAATGTCTTCTCAGCTTTGACAATCCGCAGTAGTCAAACAAACAAACAAACCAGAACAGATAGGTAGGTAATTGACTCTCTCATAACAACCATGGGAAATGAGCATTGTCCTTTTCTACTGCTTTGACAAAACAGTGTAACCAAGGCAAGTTATGAAAGAGAATGTGTACTTGGCTTTGTGGTTTCAGAGGGTCAGAGTTCTTGATGGCAGGGCAAAGGCACGGTGGCAGGGATAGCTGAGAGCCTACATCCTGATCTGCAAGCAGGAAGCAGAAAGGGCTCTACCGGCATGTCCTCAAAGCAGAGATTTTTGGTGTTCTTTGTTTTTCAAAACAAGGCTTCTCTGTGTAGCCTTGGCTGTCCTGGACTTGTTCTATAGACCAGGCTGGCCTTGAACTCACAGAGATCCACCTGCCTCTGCCTACTGAGTTCTGGTGTGCACTACTATGCGCAGCTAAAACTTTTAAAGCCTTCATCGTTTTAATATTTAACACTAAGGACTTGGTTAATTTTTATTTTTTGGCTAAAGGGGAACTCAAACTTAACATTCATTTCGTCTTCTTAAATACTATTATTTAATAGCTAATTTGTCAAATGTCATACAAATTCTAGAGAGATGAGCTTTTTGTTTTTCTCCATAGCTTCAATATCTTTCTGTACTTGTACAGTACTAAAAACACAAATAGACTTTGTTCAATGTGTTTCTTATTCTATTTGCTGACATACCTGTTATTGTTTTGTAACAGTAGTGAGTTCAATAATATAATAGTCAAGATTCTCCAAAGACACAGAATAAAAATTTGTTAGAATAAAATTTATTGGGCTGGAGAGATGACTCAGAGGTTAAGAACACTGGCTGCCCTTCCAAAGGTCCTGAGTTCAATTCGCAGCAACCACATGGTGGCTCACTACCATCTATAATGAGATCTGGTGCCCTCTTCTGGCCTGCTTGTACACATGCAGACAGAATACTGTAAAAATAATAAATAAATCTTTTAAAAAAATTTATTTAAAAGTCAACAGTGGAGAAAGTCAAGAGAAGTCCCAAGTGAGAGTGACGGAATGCAGTTGATTGTAATCAGAGGAAAGCCAGTCCAGACTGGCTGGCAGTGGTTGGAAGGTAGGAGACCATAAGAAGGTCCTCCTGGAAGATGAAACTGAGGGGATTCCTGATCTAATGAGAAAGGGAGAGAAGCCAGGTGGTAGAGGTGGCACATGCCCTTAATCCCAGCGCTTGGGAGGCAGAGGCAGACAGATCTCAGAATTTGAGGCCAGCCTGGTCTACAAAGCAAGATCCACGACGGCCAAAGTTACATAGAGAAATCTTGTCTTGAAAACCCAAAAAAAAAGGGAAGGGGAGGGAATGGAAGGAAAGGGAAGAAAAACAGAAGAGGTAGGAGAGAAAAGGCTATTTCTTCAGTGTTTGTATCATTATATGAATAGGTACTGTATACAACTGAACCAGCTGGTAAACTGTGCTTTCTTGCCCTTCTCCTCTCCTGCAAGTCAGTGGATGGTTTTCTCTGTATTTACCACTGATTCAACTCCAGGTACACAGGTCTTCCAGGGTCTGTAATGTTTCAGGGGTTCCCTCCATGACAGCTTCCGGGGAGCCGCCCCTCTGTGCTCCTGCCTCCTCCTGTGTGCTTCCTGTCTGTACTGCTCTTCCTGCAGGCCTCCATTGCTGTCAGCTGCACAGCTCCCTTCACTCTACCTGAGCTTCCCTTGCCTCTCCCCGGTGTTGCAGCTTCGATTTCCTGGAACCCCTGACTGTACTGTACCCCTTCTTTTTGAAACCTCATGTCCGATGGCTTCTAAAAATGGAGTGATTGTTGAGACCTTCCGTGTCTAAATGTGTCTTTTAAAGTGCAGCTCAAGGCTGGGACGCCATGACATGCACAAGGCCTTAGGAAATTAAAATCTAACTTGATTTAAGATATGCTGGATGAGTTCCATGTTATAGGTAGGTGAAGTAAGAAGCTTTAGTTTGTTGCTAGCCAGCAAGATGGCTACAGGCAATAATGTACTGTGTAGTTCCAAAGGCTAGAAGAAAGGATTTTGAAAGTGTTTACCATAAATGATCATGTTTGTAGAAACAGATATGTTTAACTTTATCTAGACATTATACTGTATATACCCGTTTTAAAACTCCTCATGGCGTGCTGTACGTAAGTGCAGCTTTTATGTTTTGCGTATCAGTTCACTTAATTAAAAAGGGTTCTTTGAGGGTTTTTTTTTGTTTGCTTGCTTGATTTAGGTTTCTTGGTTGGTCACGGCGGCATGAACACCTGTCACCCCAGCACCTGAGATCTGAGGCAGGAGGGCCTTGAGTTGGAGGGCAGTTGAGGCCGCAGAGCTGGCAAAACAGAAAGACTGGGAGAAGGAGGGACTTTGTTTATGGAGACAGATTGGATTCTACATTAAAATTGTTTCACTCTGTAGCTAGCGTATCATTTTCTTCTACTTTCAGTGCTCTATTTGATAGGGCCCTTCTGCCTCCTGAACTCTCTTGTTATCTCTTTTGTGCAGCGTGGAGGCGGGGCGGGGGCTTCCTTCTCACCCATCTTTTCCCGAAATTTCACAGTTATGTGTGTTTGTGAGTTTGTAGTTCCAGGTCCTGATAAAGAGAAAGCTACACATGACCTTTGTTAATGTGGACAGATTGTAATTGAAAGGGGCCCATGGAAACAGATACCAGGACCATCGCTGTGGGGGTCCTACAACCGAACAGAGGACCGGGCTCCACCTTAAGGAGGACAGGTAGAGAGTGAGCTAAGGCTCAGTTCATGGAAAGCAACTGAGAAGAAGCCAATCGTAGGGATATTTCTGACTAAGCCAGCCTCACCAGATCCCTGCAGAAAGCAAGCCCATGTGGTGAGGGGTCTGGTGTCAATGGCAGAGCATTTCTCCAGACCCGACCTACTAAAATTAGCTTCCACCAGGACAGAGAGGCAAACTCGGTGTCAGGCCAAGTCAGCATGGGAGACAGGCAGCATCCTCCATATTCTCAGGGTCCCTGGTTACGTTGGAAAATAGAATTGACAGAGACAGAATTGAAAGAAAAAAAACAAGTAGCTTTCGTGTTTTTAGGAGGCACTGGAGTGTTCAGAAATAGACCCAAATTACTGGAAAACTACTTGCTTACACTGTTTGGTGACTAGACAAAAGATGTGAGCTACGTGCTTAAGGAATTCTGCAAGGCCTTTTTGCTCAGATTCTTTCCCAGAAGTGAGGCTGCCTCTGAGTATGAAGCCTGCGGCTCCCAGAAGAAAGTCGGAGAATTCCTTCTAGGTTTGAAACCTTTGTTAATGGGGAGAAGGTATTGGGAGGTCAGAGAAAACTCCTTGCTTCTTTTCTTCTACCTTGTGCCCTCGGCTTGGCTCACTCAGGATGCTGGAGGTATGTTTCAAAGCAGCCTGCTCCAGCCCTGTCTCCTGGAGGTTGGAGAGGTGATCCAGTGGTTAGAACACCCACTGCTCTTGCAGAGAACCTGAGTTAGGTTCCCAGTGCTCACAGGATGGCTCAGCCTCCTGTAAGTCGAGCTCTAGTCAAGATCCTACATTTTCTTTTGAGTGGGGTAGGCACTAGGGTATGTACTAGGTGTACATACCAGATATGAAGTCAAAACACTCAGGGACATCAAATACAATTTGTAAAAGAAAGAGGAAGTGCCAGGTTGATTTCCACAGTGGCTGTACAAGTTTGCACTCTCACCAGCAATGGAGAAGTATTCTTGCTTCACATCCTCTCCCGCATGTGTTATCACTTGAGTTTTTGATCCTAGCCATCCTGACCAGTGTAAGATGGAATCTCAGAGTTGTTTTGATTTGCATCTCCCTGATGACTAAGGACAGGGCATTTCGTTAAGTGTTTCTCCACCATTCTGTATTTCTCTGTTGAGAATTCTGTTTAGCTCTGTACCCCATTTTTTAAATTGGATTATTTGATTTGTTAGTGTTTAACTTATTGAGTTCTTTATATATACTGGATATCAGCCCTCTGTCAGATATAGGGTTGGTGAAGATCCTTTCCCAATCTGTAGGCACTTACTACAGGGCTATTTCTGAGCCCTGAGAATGGGGTGTGGGGGGACAGAGGTTTGTAGGCATGAGCCTCATGGTACCATAATCTAGATGAACTTTCTTTATTGGGAACCCGTTTTGACAATTTATTCCTTTCTTATCCTATGGTAGTAAATAACTTAGAAAAGGCTTTTTTAAGGTCTTTAGGAAGGGTAAAGGCCATTTGCATAGGACAACATATATAAACTGATGTCACCATGGAGAAAATCTGTGTTCAAATAATCTTCATTTGCTCAGCATATTATTTCTGCTTCCATCCCCACCTGTTTTACACTTTTGGAAGAATCAGTCTTAGGGTACTTGTCAAACAGTTCAAAGTAAAAATGGAACTTAGATATTTGGGAGGTTTCTGTTCTTTTTTGGGGGTGTTTGGAATTTTCAAGGTTGAGGATTGAATCCAGGGCCTCACATGTTCTACTGCTGAGGTACAGCCACTGATATATTTGTTAAACAAATTTTCCATCTTTCTTAAAATTTTAACCATCTTCCACCTACTATCCCCTCTCCTTTCAAATCCTTAGGTTTCAGGGAATTCTTCCTGGTAATCTAGGTGATTCTCAGTGTCCTCTGCCTGCTTAGGTCTCAGCTTTGTCATGATTGTTAATTCCCTTTCATTCATCGCTCAGTTTAGCCTTTGGAGCTGTAATCTTCACCCATTCTCTTCATCCTTGTGGGGGTTATATTATTACAAAAAAAAAAAAAATCCACACAAACATGCACTCTTTTGATGGGGTTCTAGCAGGAAAACAGAGGCAGATGTTCAGGCTACTGTGTTTAACCAAAACCCCACACTGAGTTCCTAAGGATTAAATAGAAATATGCAGTTATATTTGTCATATCCCCCTAAGTAGCTCATTGAGAGTTTTATTTAAAATGTTTCAAGAACATAAAAATCAATCTGTTTAAGTCAGACAGAGGAAGGTAACTGAGTTCATCTCTTAAGCTCAGTAAAACTAAGTTGGCACTGTATTTGTCAGCCATTGATTGCTATCATCTATGATCCGCTCATCTAAACCGGAAAGGTTAGTAGAACCCACCCCGGAGTCATGTAAGGGTCAGGCGTCCATCACCTACAAGCTCCTAAAGTCAGTGCCGAGACGTGGAAAGCTATGTTTTAGCATCAGGTTCCACTAAGAACCGAAAGCTGGAAGGAGATGGTGAGAAATTAGAAGGGTCCTGCCTGTCAGGAGACTGAATGGCAAACAAGTGAAACAGTGTGCTACCATAGAACATACGTGGGATTCAAAATACACGAGTAAGACAGGGAAAAATTACCAGTACAGAGGATCAGCCTTTACGTGGCTGAGAAATCAAGAGGTACTTTGCAGAGCAAATTACTTGGACTTAGCCCTTATATTTTTGGTTTTGAGCCTAGCTTTTAATAGCTGAGCCATCGCTCTGGCCCTAGACTTAGCTCTTTATTTATTGTTGGTATAGATAGAAAACTTAATGTGAATATACATATATGCTCTTGCAATGAAAGATTTATCATGACTTAAAGATATCACAATCAGTTTTGAAGCTTATGGGTTTTTGTTAGCAAACATTAATTTAAGGCAATAATGGGTTTCATTATGACATTTATATTCGTGTATATGATGCATTTCATATTTACCCTTTTATTATTCTCTGCCCTCTTGTTTCCTTCCCACTCTACTGATCCTTCTCCTCCCAACTAGTCCCTCTTTTACTTTCACATCCTTTCTATCTCCTCCCGTGGGGGGTGGGGGGAGAGGGGAGGGCCGGCATGCATTTCTACCAACGAGTTTGATTAGGATTACTTCTAGGAATGTGGACGAGGGCTTATTTAGACTCTGGGCAACCAAATTAGTAACTGTACTACCAAAGGAGAGCATAAATCAAGCTCTGTATGCCAATATTTAGAATTGGTTATAGGTTTTTATTGTTATTCTAAAGGCTTGTTTATCTTTGTTTCCGTGTCACATTGTTTTAAATATTTTTATGGCTTACAGATACTCTTGATATTAATAGGCACCTCACCGATACTTATTTAGATTTTTTTTTTTTAATCAGTTTGAGTATTTTGCCTTCATGAATGTATGTGCTCTAAACACATGCCTGGTACCTTTGGAAGTCAGAAGAGGCTGTTAGATTCCCTGGAATCAGAGTTACAGATGGTTGTAAGCCACTGTGTGGGTGCTGGGGATCAAACTTGGATCCTCTGCAAGGACAACAGGCACTCCTAACTGCTAAGCCAGCTCTCCAGCCTCTGAATGTTTATTTTACATTTTTATATAAATAGTATTAGTAAAATTTTATTTTTGAAAGAAACATGTAGCATGTGCCAACTATTATGTAGAGCACTTAGGTATTCGCCTATAAAAAAATTTAATAGTATAGACAAATACAATAAAGTAAATGAAAACTTCAAAAATCAGAGTTTTGTTAGCATAGGAAATTGAAAAGCTGTGTTCTTACTAAAATTACTGTTTCTAAGTAATCTCGATTTTTATCTTCTATATTTTCATGTATTTCAAATTTGTTTTAATAATCTTTTATAAAGTAAGAAGAATAGATGTTATTAAATTTGTACTTCTTAATAAGAAATATGGCCTAATAACAGGATATTTGTCTGGGGTCAATTTTCCATGAGCAACCCCTGAAAAAAAAATGAAATTCATAACTCTTTGCCAGCATGTGTTGATGTCTTATCTATAGATGACAGAATTATTTACTTTTCAACATTTTCAAATTTGTACTTGCTATCTTAAGAGTCGTAACTTCTGTTCTTGATTAGAGTTTTATACACTCCCGGCCACACTGATGATCACATGGCTTTAATCCTGGAAGAGGAAAATGCCATCTTTTCTGGGGATTGCATCCTAGGAGAAGGGACAACAGTATTTGAAGACCTCTATGATTATATGAACTCCCTAAAAGACTTACTCAAAATCAAAGCTGACATTATATATCCAGGTGAGTAATGTCTTTTAATCTAGTAAGCGGTTCTTTTCCCATGACAAGAAATGTTCCTTTTGCTTACCTCTGAGTTGAAATACAGAGAGAGACAACTTGAAGCTTTTGTGTTAGCATATACCAAGTGGTCAAGTGCTAGGTTCCTTGATGGCTTGTTCATGCATGTGTTATATAGTATACCTTTGATTGTATTTACTTGAGTTGCCCTGTTTTTACTGCCCCGCCACTGTCCCTCTTCTGCAACTTTTATTCCTTTAAAGATTTTATTTTTAATAATGTGTGTAGCAGGAGGGGGGGGTGTACATATTGGTACAGTGCACATGGAGGTCAGAAGAAGGTGTCAGATCCCTTGAGGCTGGAGTTACAGGCCATTGTGAGCTTCCTGACTTGGATGTAGGAAACTGAACTGAAACTGTTTGTTTTTTGTTTTTGTTTTTGTTTTTGTTTTTTTTTCTAATTTTTTATTAATTACACTTTATTCATTTTGTATCCCCCCCATAAGCCCCTCCCTCCTCCCCTGCCAATCCCACCCTCCCTCCCCTTTCTGCATGCATGCCACTCCCCAAGTCCACTGATAGGGGAGGTTCTCCTCTTCTTTCTGATCTTAGTCTATCAGTTCTCATCAAAAGTGGCTGCATTGTCCTCTACTGTGGCCTGGTAAGGCTGCTCCCCCCTCAGGGGGAAGTGATCAATGAGCAGGCCAATCAGATTATGTCTGAGGCAGTCCCTCTTCCCATTACTATGTAAACCACTTGGACACTGAACTGCCATGGGCTACACCTGTGCAGGGGTTTCAGGTCATCTCCACGAATAGTCCTTGGTTGGAGTATGAGTCTCTGGGAAGTTCCCTGTGTTCAAATTTTCTTGTTCTGTTGCTCTCCTTGTGGAGTTCCTATGCTCTCCAGCTCTTACTCTTTCCCACTTCTTACATAAAATTCCATTCACTCTGCCCATCAGTTGGCCATCAGGCTCAGCATCTGCTTTGACAGTCTATACTGCAGAAGCTTTCAGAGGCCCTCTGTGGCAGGTTTCAAGGTTGTTTCCTGTTTTCTTCTGGCTTTCAGAGGCCCTCTGTAGTGGGTTCCGAGGTTGTTTCCTATTTTCGTTTTCTTCTGATGTCCATCCTCGTTGCCTTTCAGGATGGGGATTGAACATTTTAATTAGGGTCCTCTCTTTTGCTTAGTTTGTTTAGATGTACAGATTTTAGTGGGTTTATTCTATATTATATGTTTATATGAGTGAGTATATACCGTGAGTGTCTTTTTGCTTCTGGGACAACTCACTCAGGATGATCCTTTCCAGGTCCCACCATTTACCTGCAAATTTCATGATTTCCTTATTTTTCATTGCTGAGTAATACTCCATTGTAAGATGTACCACAGTTTCTGCATCCATTCTTCAGTTGAGGGGCATCTGGGTTGTTTCCAGCTTCTGGCTATTACAAATAAAGCTGCTACAACCCTGAGATTTCACCTTACACCCATCAGAATGGCCAAGATGAAAATCTCAAGGGACAACACATGCTGGAGAGGTTGTGGAGAAAGGGGAACCCTTCTCCACTGCTGGTGGGAATGTAAACTGGTACAACCACTCTGGAAATCAATCTGGCGCTTTCTCAGACAACTAGGAATAGCGCTTCCTCAAGATCCAGCCATACCACTCCTAGGCATATACCCAAAAGAGGCGCAAGTACACAAAAAGGACATTTGCTTGTTTTTGTTTTTTAAAGATTTATTTATATAGTATTCTGTCTGCATGTGTGCCTGCAGGCCAGTGGAGGGCGCCAGATCTCATTATAGATGGTTGTGAGCCACCATGTGGTTGCTGGGAATTGGAACTCGGGACCTTTGAAAGAATAGCAAGTGCTCTTAAACTCTAAGCCATCTCTCCAGCTCCAGGTCTTCTGGGATAGTAGTACATGTTCTTAACCTATAAGCCATTTCTCTCTCCAACCCCCTCATTATGCTTTTCTTTAAAGTGTGGCTTCTGCATATGAAATGCGATATTTGGCTTTCCGAGGTTGACATAGTGGTCCATCCATTTTCCAGCAAGTTACATGATCTCATTCTTTATGGAATAATAATATTCTGTTAGATATAAATACTTTGTTTTCCTCCATTGGCAAGCACCCATGCTGAATCCAGAATTTGCTGTTGCATTTCGTGCCAAAATAATGTGGGCATTTAGGTATGTCTCTTGCATGAAACTTCTGGTTTCTTTGGGAATATGCCCAACAGTGGTACAGCTAGATCTTGTGATAGTACTGCTTGAAAGGTGGTCTGTTTGTTCTTACAATACTGAGGGTGAAACCCAGTGCCTTGTACGTGGTAAGCAAATACTCTACCTCCGAGCGATAGCCCAGCTCCATTTTTCATTTTATGAGAAACCACCATGCTTATTTGTAGGCGCTGCTTTTTAACTCTGTTGGGTTTCTTAGACCTCTGCTTCCCTTCCAACCCCCAACTCTATGCAGGAGAGAAAGAAGGTTAGAAGGGACGGGGGAAATAGGCGTCTTTAGAGTTGGTCCCTGCTGATTCGGGTCCTTGGGTTCTTTGGGACTAGCCTCCAATCTCACAGTGAGGCCACCCGGCAGTCCAGCTAACCAACAAACGCGGCAGCAGTCTTCTTCCTCCTTGGGAAAGTGCTCTTTCCTCTCTCCCAGAGCCTCTCTTGGCTCTGATATCTATACACGCTCAGGGTCCTCAGAGTTAAACTTTCTCTAGCCAGCAAAGGCCACGTCCCTCTCACACCACAGGAGGCTGTTATCAGCTGGCAAAACCACACCCCTCTCCCCTCTCCGAGCTGAAGGAGTCTGTTATCAGCTGTGAATAAACTAAGGCAGTGCGACATCCCACACTTGGGATTAAAACAAAAACATATTTGTATAACTTAACTGAGTTTTTAAAGAAACCAAAAACCTCCACTACACTTATTTCTGTGTTGACCACACCATTTGACAGTTTCAGTGTAATGGTTCTCTCTAGGATTTCTTTTTTCGTATTTTCTGGAAGATAGCTCTTCTGTCTGGAATGAAGCAGAGCTATGTGTGGTCCGGACTGGTGTTTCTCTGGTGGCTGGTGTGATATTAAATACTCTTTTTCATGTACGTATTAGCTCTCTGTTCTTCTTTTGACAATTGTTTCTTTGAGGCAATTTGGGGTAGGATGGTGCATCTGCAACCCTAGAACTTAAGGCAGGAGGACTACGATAAATCCAAGGCCACTTCAGTAACACAGCAGATAACAGACCAGCGGTGTAGTGAGACCCTGGCTCTACTCATCTTCCCACTTACTGACTGCATTATTTGTTCTTTCAGTGTTTGGTTAGAGTTCTGCATGCGTTATGTGCGTGTGCGTGTGTGCGTGTGCGTGTGTATGTGTGTGTGTGTGTGTGTGCGTGCGCGTGTGCGTATGGCAGAGAAAGATTGAGAAATTGACCAACCAAACCCTGCCAGATCAGTGACAGGCCGATTTCCTTTCAGTCTGTAGGCTTTCTTGTCACTCTTTTGATTGCTGCCTTATTGGCGCAGAGCTTTTTAATCTCACCATAATCTCTCAGTTCTTGTCCATTTGCTTGAGCTGTAGAGTCCTCTTCAGAAGTCCCTCCTCCATGTTTTTCTTTTAAAGTATTTGCCCAATGGTTAGCTCTAGTGGTTTCAAAGGCTCATGTCTTACAGCAAGACCCTTGATTCATTTGAGGTTTGGTTTGGTTTTTTGGGTTTTGGTACACAGTGAGACACAGGGATTTTGTTTCTTTATTCAACATCTGTATATCCAGTTTCCCTCGCTGTTTGCTGAAAGGTTGTCTTTTCAACATTTTTGTTTTGGCTCCTTAGTCAAGAATCAGATATTATAGCTGTAGAGGTTTGCTTTGGAACCTTTCATAGGTCTGTGTATCAGTTCTTGTGCCGGAACCATTCTGTTTTGCTACATTAGCTCTGTAGTATAATCTGAAATCAGATATTGTGATATTATCCAGCATTGCTCAGGTTTGTTTTGGCTATCTGGGGTCTTTGTTAATAAATTTGAGAACTGTTCTTTTTTGTGTGAGGGATATTATCAGAATTTGAATGGGGATTTGCACTGAATCTGTTTATCATTTCAGGTAATAGTGCTGTTTTCACCATATTAATTCTGCCAATCCATGAACACGTATTTGTGTCTTCTTCAAGTTATTTCTACAGTGACTTACAGTTTTCGTTGTAGAGGTCTCTCACAACTTCCCGTAGGTTTTGCCCGAGTGCTTGGTGTGTATCTGTTGGGTTATTTGTTGTTGTTTTATTTTATTTTATTTTTAACAGAGGACATGAGGCTACTGTGAGTGAGATTATTTTCCTGGCTATTTCACAGTGCATCCACTACTGATAGAGAAAAAGACTTAAGTGTTGAGTTTTATAACCTGGTGTTTATCTGACCCGGATTTCTCCTTTAGGTGTTGGAGTGTTGGCTCATTGTTACCTGCAGAGAAGGGTCAGCTGGGGTCCTTCTTTACAGTTGCAGTTCTTCTGCATAGTTACTTTGCTGCCACTAAGACCATGGTACCTGGCAGGAACCACAGGGAAAAGGACTTACCTTGACTCATGGTTGTAGATGGCTTTAGCCCATCATGGCAGGGAAAACCTAATGGACCAACTCAATTGATGGCAGCCAGAATATGTAGCAGAGACTATTCACACCTGGGAAACAGAAAGTGAAAAGAACCAGGAGCCATGGATGACCTGGAAAGGCCCATCCTAGTGACTAACTTCACTACGTAGCTCACCTCTGAAAGATCCCATACACCCAAGGAAAGAAAGCACCACTAGCTACAAACCAGGTACTCAAAAGACAAACTGTGGGAGTGTTCACATTCAAATCACACTTGCATTTCTTTCTATTTGCCTGTTGACCCTGCTAAGAATTCCTGCACTGTAACCAGGCTCACGCCTATAATTCCAGCACTTGGGAGGCAAAGGCAGGAGAGTGACTTCAAGGAACTATAGCGCTAGTTCAGGACAGCCAAGGTTACACAGTGAAACCCTGTCTTGAAAGAGGAGGAGGGCTGGAGAGATGCCTTAGTGGTTAAGAGCACTGTCTACTCTTCCAAAGGTCCTGAGTTCAATTCCCAGCACATGGTGGCTCACAAACATCTATACTGGGATCTGATGCCCTCTTCTGGCATGCAGGTATACATGCAGAAGAGCACTCATACATAAAACAAATAAATAAATCTTTTTTTAAAAAAAGAAAGAAAAAGAGGGAAAATCCAAGCACTCTATTGAATTAGAGTGGAGACAGTGGACATCCTTGTCTCTCTTGAATTTAGAGAAATGCTCTCTTTTTCTTCAGTTCATGTGTTAGCCACTAAACTTGTCATGCCTAGCTGCTACTGTGCTCAAGCCTGGCACTCCTAGCCTACGTTCTTCAGGGCTATTATAATAAAAGGATGCTGAACTTTGTCAACTCTTTCTGCTTCTGATGAGATGGGCATTTGATTTTTGTCTTTGATTCCATTTGTGTGCTGTGTTGTATTTGCTTACTTGTATATTTTGAACCATCTCTAGAATTACATCAGTTTGATCATGGTAATATGACCTTTCTAATAAACACCCTTTGGAGGGGTTTTTTTCTGTAGGATCTGTCTGTGTTCAGTAAGGACATTGGCCTTAGTTGCCTCTGTTGTTGGATCATTGTCCAGCAACATCAGTAAGCAAGGCAACCCTGGGTTAGTACCCTGGGTCCTTTTCTGTCTTGTAGAATAGTTTGAGAATCAGTGGTCCTAGTTTTCCTTAAAGGTGTGGTGCTCTCAGTTGTGAACGCTTCTGGTCCTGGGTTTCCCTTGTTGGGGAGCCACAGTGCTACTTCAGTCCTATTTTCCATTGCAGACGTTTGCTTGAGTCTATCTTCTTGTTTCTATTTTGCTATGGCTACACAGAGAAACCCTGACTCAAGCAAAACAAAACAAATAGCATTTCTGTTGTCGATGTTTTGTATTCTTTGAGTCTCTATTTCATAGTCATCACTTTATTCCATGAACTGTTATTATTTCTATTTATATTTATCTTAGATTTGACTTAAAGACGTCAAAGTACTTAATTTTATTATTTGGTCTATAACCCTGGATTTTTATAGTTTATTCATGGATGTGTATGTGTGTGTCTGTGTACACGCACACCCACACAGAACACACAGGTGGAGGTGTGAAGACAGCTTGTTGGGTTGGATCTCTTCTTCCACCATGTGGATTCTGGGTATCAAACTCAGTTTATCAGGCTTCGTGGCAAGTGCCTTTCCCCACTGAGCCTTCTCTCCAGCTCCTCTCTGGCTTTTTTTAATGCAGAGATTTCAGAGCTGTTATGTGACTTCTGCTGAAGAGATTAATTAGTTCATGCCTACAATGGGAAGTCTTTAAAGAATAACTTGGCTGGGCGTATAATAGACTTGGTTGGCAGTTACTTACTGTGTTTTCAAGGCTTTGGGGTTTCTGTTGACATGTTTGTTCTTATTCTAGTATATTTTCCTCTAATTTGACATGCCCTTTGCAGTTTCAGTACTCTTTAACTGTTCTGTACTCCGGACATTTTCACTGTAGTATGACATGGAAAGGCTGTTTTCTGGTCATGATTTTGGGGCTTCTAAATGCCTCCTGTTGTTGACTGTTCTGCTGTAACACCACTGAACACTGAATGTGTCCTTTGTCAGTAACTTAGTTGGTTTGTCAACGCTACATGCACAGGTTTGGTGTCTTCATCTGTCCAAGAGGTCTTGAGTGTTGTGGCCATGGTTGCTTGCCTTTGTTTTACTGATACTTGAATGTAATGATTTCTTTGTCTTTAACCCTTGATGTTCCTAGCAACATTTGGGGCTTCCAGCAGCCACTGCCAGCTCCAGGTTTTATGGCTTTTGAAGCTAGTCAGGTTCTCACTTGCTCCGGAGGTCCTCCAGTTGTACTCAAGGATGACAAGTTTCCACGCCAAGGTGCACACAAGCATGTGTCAGAGTTCCTCACCCCGTTACCACTTTTTGGGGCCTTCTTCCACACAGACACAGCGGTAGCCATCCCTCAGCTCGCTAACTTGTGATTAGTGTTTTATTTCAGGTCCCCAGCATAGCTCAGTCACTATCAATACACCCCTCTCAAGGTTGCCCCGGGCTGTAGCACCCCAAGGTGTGGGAATGGGCACAGGTCCCTGCTTCACCATTGACTGCTACACAGAAGTCTCTGTCGCACAAACTCCACACACTGGGCTTAAGGCCTTCTAAAACTGTGGTCTCTCCAGAGCTGGGTCTGCCAGTCCAGTGACATCAGGACTGCCTCCCTTGCCTGTGGTCAGAGCAGCAGCTTCTCCCCTCGGGAGCTGGGAGGGACTACAGACTGTTCCAAGACTACCTCTGTGTCACCTGTGTTTCTCCATGCTTCTTAGATGCCCCCTTACCTCCTTCTTGGTTCCCAGTGCTCTGCCTTCCTTCTCCCTCAGTGCAGTTTGCTCTTTTGTTACACTGATCCTTCTCACGCATGAGCTTAAACAGGGAGCGTCTAATCACCACCCAACCCTGCTTCTTCAGTGACACCCTTAGTTCTTTCCTGACTGAGAGCTATGTCCATAACACTTTCTGTAAGGAGTTTTCTTCAACATCCGCACAGCTGTCGACTAAACTGTTAAAACAAAACAAGCTTAGGTGGGAACAGGAAAATGCCTCGGTCACTGTTTTATTAACTGACTTCTCTCACAAACCGCACTTTAGCTATGAAACCTCAGGTAACACTTGTCCTCTGAACTTTAACTCACCATGATGCTATGTCAGATTTCCATAGCAACCATAAAATGGTACATATTCAGTCTCCAGAAGAAGAAACCTGTTAAATGTAGTTGTCACCACGCTGCTTACAATATGAATGTCCTCTCTGACATAGGGAGAACCTAGCAAGAGTCCCAGAAGGGATAGGGGATGTGGTTAATTTTCTAACTTGCTGCTAACGAAACAGCCATGGAAAATCTGTCAGTACAACTACATTCTCCTGTGCATTCTTGATGCTCAGGAAGCAGTAACTGTACTATGGCTGGGCGTGTGTGTTACCGTGACATGGGCTGAATTAGGCACAAGAAGCCCCTACTGGTCTAGCTGGCCCCCGAGCTAGACCGAGGAGAGGCCAGCTACAAAGGTTCTCAGAGTGTTTGCACCCAGACAGACTCGTGTATTACTAGCAAGGAAGTTGTTTTTATGGAAATTGCACTCTGTCACCATAGTTACCATAGAGTAAAGACTGCGTCCCTGCAGGTATCGCGCGATGGCCTTACAGCTATGTGCCTTCAAAAGCCCTGGGGAGTGGGTGCTGCAGGAACGGACTCAGCGAGCCTCACATTTTCCTTCCCAGGGCTAAAACGAAACAGACCGTTAAGAACCGAAGTGCAGTGCTCTTTATGCGATACTAGGTTAGCCTGCTTCTGGTTGTTTTGTTCTCGGAGATGCAAACTATCCCCTCTGTGGACTCCTGCACCGTGCTGCACTGTTTAAAGGGCAGGCGGATTTCAGTGGGACTTGGTCTGAGTTGCTACAGCTGCTCTAAGACTGCGGTTCTCCTGCGGATATTAGCCTGCTTTTATTTACCCGTTTCAGTCTCTTGTTAGCAAGCTTACTGCAGCAGTTAAGGCAGCCTAGTGGGAACCTCAGCCCCCACCTTTTCTTAGCAGTATAGCTGTAGGCAGGTTCTCCACCTTCTCTGTGGATGTAATAGTCCCCATCTCATGGGATCCGTGTAAGCGCAGGGTGCTGCAAGTGTGTGCAGTAATGCCGAGCATCGGTGCACACTTCATGTGCCACCCACCATTGTTGTGGGTGCTGTTTTAGTATGTGTGCTATTGCTAAAATCGATCTTAGATTTTTAAAGGTGCATAGTAGCATTATGTATGTTTATTTGATATAATATGCTAAAGGTTTTTTGGTATCATACACATTTTTTTTATTGTTGCCATTAAAGCTTTGTTTTCCCCAAGCTATCTGTAATATAGTGCTTTTTATTAGCATATATTAATTATACGTAATGGTCCTTTTCCTTATGACATTTTTATAGGTTTGTGTAATGTATTTTGAGGGGCTTGAGAGAGAGCTCCGTGGTTAAGAGTGCTTGCTGTTCTTTCAGACGACGGAAATTCATTTCCCATGTCCGGTGGCTCCCAAGTGCTCCAGAAGAGCCAATGCCCTCTTCTTGGCCTCCATAGACACCGAGTACTGATCGCAGACACATAAACGATGGAGTAAATCTTTAAAAATTATGTTTGGATCATTTTTACCTCCTAATACAATTCTTGCCCCCCTCCCGTCCCCGCTGATCCCGTTTCTCTTCCCCAGTAGCCTTCCCTGCCTTCTACTTTCATGTCTCCTATGGTGATCTGAGAAATTTAATTAGGGTTGCTTCCAGGAGCGGGGGTGAAGGTTAGCACAGGACAAACATCGGCAAGTTACCAGGGGCTACACTGCTAAAGCAGAAAATGTCTCTTCCTCTGTAGCAACTGTCAACTGACAACAGCTCCTCAGGGGGGGATGGGGAATCTCTCAGGACCTCCTCCCACCACGATGTTGACAGGCCCGCTTCTGAAGTCCTGTGTGCCCTGTCTGCAAATACCCATGAGCCTTCCAGGCAGTGAACGTTCATGCACGTAGTGTGCTTTGCGGTACAGCGTGAATTATTTTTAAATAAAGTGAATTGAGCCAGGCGAGGTGGCGCATGCCTATAATCCCAGCACTCGGTGAGGCAGAGGCAGGGGGATCTCCGTGAGCTCCAGGTCTGCAAAGTGAGTCCAGGACAGCCAAGGCTACATGAGAAAATCTGCCTTGAAAACAAAACAAAAATAAAGTGAATTAGCTTTGCACTTAGTGTTTCTTATTTGGTTGTAGTAATTGGCATAATTTTTTTTTTTTTTAATTCAGGACATGGCCCAGTAATCTATAATGCTGAAGCTAAAATCCTAGAATACATTTCTCACAGAAATAGCCGAGAAGAGCAAATTATTACAGTATTCCGTGATAACTTCGAGAAAGCATTTACACTGACTGAACTTGTGAAGATTATTTACAAGGTAACTTCCTTTCATCTTCTCTGTACCTGGGTATCATTCCATAAGCTATATGGTAGACTTACTACATCCCAGGTCTAAACAAGTATTTTGATTCTGTAAGTCATGCCAGTTGTCTCAACCTGCAGCCAGCAGTTTAAGTTAAGAAAGGAAAATGCCCACAGAGAACAAAACCAGCCATCCCAAGCCATTTCCAGCCTGAGCTCTGGAAAGCTTTGTAATGACACGGACTGTCCAAGCCATTTTGATTATCTGGTGCCCACTTCAGTAAGTGACACAGGGTGATTGTCTAAACAAACAAACAAACAAACAAAGAACACCTGAGGAGGCGAGCAATGGGAAGCTGTAGCCTAATATTGAACATATGCATCAAAAACCATGAATAGAATACTTTCTGTAGGAAAGGATTCCAGAGCTCAGTGTATGGCCTCTGGGCACATTCCTGTGGCACCGCATGGTTCCCTTAATGTGACTCTATGTTTTGTCGAGTTTAATACCCGCTGTGCTTAGTGGTTCTGTGTGTAGGACTTGGCAGATTAAGTTTCAAAAGTCCCGCCATGGTGGGCACAATAGTGCATTTACGTAGCCTCAGCACTCAGGACGCAGAGACGGTGCCTGCGATGGGGGGGGGGGGGGCGGCCCAGAGGGGACGGGCCTGCCCGGAGGGGACCTGGAGACGGTAATGGTTGTGAAGAACCTGGAAAGCACCGCATCTCACCAGGTGCACGTCAGACAGCGGTGGACACTGAGAAGCACCTGTGATTGGGGCTGTCACTCAGGAGGAGAGTGGTACACAGCCTTGCATATTCAAAGCCCCGGGCGAGGATCCTTGGTACAATTGGGAAAGAAGTCATTGGAAAACTTAACACAAGTGCTTTTTTGTGGGGCTGAGTGCTGGGTCACTCTCCAGAGTGCTTGCTGGGCAAGTGTTAGAACAGTTCATTCCTCAACAGTCACAGCATGTACCTGTAGTCCCAGTGGGGGGGGGGGGGGGGTGGCAGGGAGGCAGAGACAACAGGATCCCTGGAGCTCCTCTCAGCCACTCCACCGGAGTCAGTGAGCTCAAGGTTCAGTGAAGGGCCCTGTCTCAAAACATAAGATGGAGTGCAATCAAGGAAAAATATCCGATATCTTCAATCTGAATGTGCACACACACATGCACACGCGATCGCACACAAGACTCGCTGAAGAAAAGCACTGAAATGCTTGAAAGAGCACGTGAAAGAGCTCATTACATCTCCAGTACTTGTTGTAGCCACTTGAAACTATACACTGCTGCTCAGAGGGTTTTTCCCCAGCTAACCCAAGTACAGTCAGCAAAAACTGTCTCATACCCCGTTCCAGATGAGTGATGAAGTGATTGCTCATACCAACACAAACATCGATTCTTCATCCAGGAGTACATAGTCACAGCGCAAGTATGTTAAACACCCGGTGCCTGTAGAAAGGCATGAGGTAGCCTCAAGTGACTTATCCATTCGGCATTTGTTAAGTGTTTCATATGCCATATGCTAGAGGAGGTGCAGAAATATGTAACTTCAGACCCTCGCCTTCAAGGGATCCAAGGATTAGTGAAGACAGGCGCTGTCACAACAGCGCCTCCCCTCAGCATGCCACACTAGCTGTTTTATATAGGTTGAGCATCCTTAACCCAGATTTACGCAATACTGCAGCAGCTTCGTATGTTGGAGCATTTTGAATATCCATCACATTTTTTTCGCACTGAACTTCAGGTTCTGCACACCATATGTTGATACAGAATTTGAAATTCGTTTTACCTAGTGCAGATGCAGAGTAACGAGTTTTTGTCTAAAGAAGGAGTAAGTATTTGCTAGGCCAGAGTAGAAGAGAAAAGTCATTCAAGACCTAGCGAAAGGCATGTTCAAACCTTTGGAGTAGCAGGAGCACCCATGTCGCAGGTGTGGGTGGACAGGAAGAAAGCCCCAGAAAGTGAGGGAGAAGAGTGGATGTGATCAGATCCCAAGGACACTTTCCTGCCAGCTAAAAATTGTAATGTTACCCACTGATCTGGGAATGATCACTTACAGGTCATAATGGGTAGCTCAGATGATGAAGTCTAGAAAATCACACTGGTGTAGATGGTACCGGTCCTTAAAGGAGAATCTGAGCACCAGTGTTCACTATTTCTATGTGTTAGCAGAGGGGAATGAAAATGGAAACTTCGAGTGGGGTCCCAAACCTATAAAGCCACAGCAGGAGGCTGAGTGAGGCCAGCCTTGCAGATAGTGACTATCCAGACTGAACTGTCTCAACAGGGAGAGAGCGAGCCAATGGTACAACCTTTTGTAAACATCAGTGTTCCTCTGCAAATATCAATGTTTTAACACAAGTCTAAGGGGGACTATACAAGAAGACTATGGATGCTAGGTGACATAGGATAACTACAGAAAAGGCAACCTTCAAAAAAGAGAAACAGCCAGTTAATTTTCATCTACAGTGAGACAAGCAAACCCACTGAATTTTGACTGAGTCAATTTGATAATCTTGGCAAAATATCTTCAGGAAGCTGAGAAACAGAATATTCTGTTTTCATTCCTTTGCAGCGATAAATCACTGAGCAAAAGCCACTTGTTCAGGGAAGGATTTATGTGGTATATGCTTGCAGGTCACAGCCCGTCATTGAGGTGAATCAGGGCAAGAGCTCAGCAGGGGAACCATGGAGAAACTGCTTTCACAAACACTGGATGCTTCTGCCCACAGTAGGCTGGACCATTCCAGGTCAATTAACAATCAAGACAATCCCCCAAAGACATGCCTACGGGACAGTCTGACTTAGACAGTTCCTCAGCTGAGGCTCTCCTGTCGCATGTCTGTGGGTGTTTCACGGTGACAACTAAAGCTAACTAGGACACAGATTGTGAATTTTGTGAAGAAAATTGGCTTCAGAATTACAGTCCTTATTGAATCATAAAATGAATTTTCTCCTTTTATTCAGCTGATGTGTCAGTTTTACATTTTAGCAATATTATAATTTAGCAAGAGTAAAGGAAAACTGTGGGTCATAAGATACAAAGATATTATCATAATACCTAAAAAAGCACAAAGCCATTCAAAACTGTTCAGAAATGAAGAATTTTTATATTTACTCATTTCTTCATTTATAAACATTAATGGATTTTACTGTGTCAGTATGTGAATCACTAGGAATTCAGTTCTGAACAAAATAAGACACTGCTATTGTTTTGTAGCATCTAATTATTTTATCTATAAAAATATAAAAGAATATCATAAAGTAAGACCATGTGCAACATAGAAATTGTCTCAGTTGGCATTGTATTTTCTTGTTTGATTTTGTTTTTTTGAGGCAAGGTCTCACTCTGCCAGGCTGGTCTCAGACTCAGTGTAGCCAGGGATGACCTTGACCATCTGACTGTCATGCCTCCACCTTCTGAATGCTGAGACTTCATACAGTTATGAGGGGCTGTACGTGGTAGGAAAGTTGTCAGCTGACCACATCCCTGACTTAGGTTAGTGCTAAAGGGTGCTCAGGTTAAACTTTCTCTCCTGTTTGTGTGTCTTATTTTAAACATTGCAAACAATGAAGTGTTCTTTAGAAATGAGACTCCCTTTTTATCCCTGTTTCCTTTCAGAATGTTCCAGAGAATTTACATAAGGTGGCGGAGCGTAACCTCTTGCTTCATTTGAAAAAACTAGAGAAAGATGGAAAAATATGTATGTATACTTCTGAGTCTTAATGCATTTACCACTGGCATTTAAACATTTTTGCAGGTGGTTGGGTTTCTTTTTAGTTCAAACAGCACCCATCTGAATTCTCCCTTAAATGTCACATTCAGTGGAGAGATACAAACACTAGGAAGTGGGGTCCAGATCCTTCCGCCGTAGTGACCTGAGAGTTGTGCTTTGGAGAACAGTGTTCTCGATGCCAAGGTCAGGAAGACTGATAGGTGGTACACCTGAGAACAGGCACAGCTTCTAAGTGCTGGTAAAATAGTGAAGTCAGAGATGGTAAAGTACACGTTCTATAATATTTCCTAATGGTAGACATGATTGTCAAGTCAGACATTTTTATAAAGGTTTAGTTCTAAAAGTCAAGAAGTTCATCAACTCTTGAATTTTATATACAAACCTCAGCCATATGCTCACATACAAGAAGAAACTCGCTTTATTGTCATTGGTAAAATTCCTTTAAGGAATGTGCACGTTTTCTTGTTACAGAAAAACTTAAAATCCAATGGATATACTTACCTCTTGTTTTTACTTTCTGTTTTTTCTACAGTTTACGTCACAAATCCTGACAAGAAGTGGAAAGCTGTCCTTTAGCTGTGGATCAATGAAGCTCTCTTGTTTTGCTTTTAGAGGATGATATGTTTTCTTAGGTATAGATTATTTATAGAGAATATCGAATGGAGGATTTTGGAAATAACCCTGGACCTTTGTAAAATATGTAAATTACATTGTATATCCGTAGAACAAATTACTGATCTAACCCTGATCTTGGGAACATTTTTACCAAAACTTCAGAATCTAACACTTGGTCAGTTTCCTGTAGATTAAGTAAAATGGTCACTTCAGAATAATACATTTTGCGTAGTTCAAACCAGTTAGTCCTTTCAGGTTTGGATATGCGCTAGCATTTGCCAGTGACGCTGTTTTCAGTCAACAGCGCAGGTGTCTGCGTACTCCTTTCTTCAACTTGTCTAAGCTCTTACACACCAAGTTTATTTCAAGCTTCTACCAGTTATATCATTTAGGTATTTGTTCTACAGCTCGATGTTATGTTCATTTTCTTACAGTGGTATCCCAAAAATTATTCATAAGATGATCATTGAGAAATATTAAATATACCAACTTGAAATATTATATGATTAATGATTTTTTTAAGATTTGTTTTTATTTTATGTGTATGGGTATTTTGCCTACATGAGTGTCTGTGTGCTACATATGTACAGTGTTCATGGAGGACAGGATAGGGCACTGGATCCCCTGGAACTGAAATTCCAGGCATTAGTCATCATGTGGGTGCTTGGAATCAAGCCTGGTCCTCGGGAATGGCAGCCAGTGTTCTAAACCGCTAAGCCATCTCTCCAGCCCCTGAATAATTGTTTTCATAACCTATTAGTATGACCAACATGCTTTGCAAGCTTAGATTTTACTACAGAAATAGTCATCAGTTTATATATGAATAATATACTGGAAATTGTTTTCTTTAGTTAGAAGATTATAAGATAGGCCTTTTAAATATGTAAATAACACTTGTAAATAATAGTTAGATTAGTGGTGCTGTGTGGTAATTTCCTCCAAATTGAAAAGTTCGGTCCTGGAGGGAGGCGCCTAAGAGACTCAGGAAACTTACAGGGATCAGGAAATAACTCACAAGTCTCAAAAACTTCCTGAAACTTAAATGATTCACCAGGTCCATCACCAAGGCTACCTCCGCAATATTGATGGCTGGGGAAAAGAGATGTTCTCAGCTCTTGAGCTGCCTGCAGGTGATACAGGGGAGCTTCAGGAATGTGGCTTTCATGGAGTAGGCTTTTCAATAATGCATTTTATGCCACCTTAACACATTTTTTTCTTGTCCCATAGAAACATATAATATACCCAGAAGTGTTCCATACTACAAAATAACTATAAAATGAACAATTAAAAGCCAAAGACCCAGTGCACAAATGGGTGATGAACTTTTCTCCAGAGAAGATACCTAAGTGAAAAAATGTTAAGCATCACCAATCAATAAAATCAAAATATATATCAAAACCACAGGATACTGCCTCCTGCCCATTTGGATAGCTGTTTCCTAAAAATAGGAAGAGAACAGCTGCTGATGTATAAAGAAAGTAGAACCTTTTTTTGTTTTTCAGTTTTTGGGGTTTTGTTTGTTTGTTTGAGGCAGGGTTTTTCTGTGTAGCCTTGGCTGTCCTGGTTCTCATTGTAGACCAGGCTGGCCTCAAGCTCATAGGGATTCACCTGCCTCTGCCTCCCTGAGTGCTGGGATAAAAGGCGTGCACCACCATGCCTGGCTAAGAAAGTAGAACCTTCATATACAGTTTGTACGCTGGTAAAATAGTGTGGCCTCTGAAAAATAGGTGGCCCTCTTCAAAAAAAGAACAGAATTACAGTATGAGCAATTCTACTTCTGAAAATCATTTCAAAAAACTGACTTAAGCAGGTATCTGTGGGGCTGATATAAAAATATCTTTAAAACAAAGGAAAATATAACATGCCACATCATACATGAATTCCAAAGACATACTACTAAGTGAAATAAGCCACCAAAAAACATACTATACGATTCCACTTGCTTGAAGCACCTATAGTAGCTAAAGTTGTGGAGACAGAAAGTAGAGTTGCGAATGTAGTGATTTGGAAGAAAGGGAAAAGAAAATTATCAAGCTTCAGTAAGGGACAGTATAAAAAGTTCTGGGCATGAATGGTGGTACCCATCACAGAAACACTGTGATCCTGTAGGTGTACTTAATGCCAAGCGTTATCCCTCCTCCATGATACCACCACCAAAAGTAAAAAATGTGTACACACATCAATATCATTTAGACAAAGAGAACTTAATTTCATTGGTATATGAATAATTAGCCTCCCTCTTAGCTTGCTTGTCGTTTTTCCCAGAAAGATGAATACAAACACCATTTGTTGGTCAAATCAGAAAGGGAAAAAAAAAAATCACTCTTGGCTTGCCCTCATCCCTCATGTCCAACTCCTCCCATTCTGCTTCCAGAATTCACCACTCTTACCCAGTCTTAGAACTAGCCATCATCCTTTCTTCCTGAACTAGTAGAATGCCTGTTAGCAATTAGCACCCTCTTCCATTCTTGAAAGAGGTTGGGGGAGAAGATAAAAAAGGCCATTCTGAGCTGTGGAAATCTCATTTAAAAATCCATGCGAAGGTGGGTGGTAGTGGCGGTGCACGTTTAAATCTCGGCACTCCAGGAGGCAGAAGAAGGCAGGTCTCTGTGAATTCAAGGCCAAAGTTCCAGAACAGCCAAGGCTACACAGAGGAACCCTGTCTAGAAAAACAAAACAAAACAAAAGTTAAAAATAAAAAGACAAAAATCCAAGCAATTGTTCCATTGCCATGACACACTTCAGATACTGCATGCTGCAAGTAGATCTTTTCAGAGAAGGAGAGGATGGGAAGCTACTTAATCCATTAGTGATTTAAGAAGCCTAGCAACAGCTATAACAAAAGCTGTGACATATATTAAATGCTTTGTGCTGGCGACTGCACCAGATACTACGGAGACAAAGTGAACAAAACAGCGCCTGAACTCGAGTGAGCTCATACTCTTATTGTCAAGGCAATGTAAGTACCATTGTGTTTGTTTGGAATAAAAGAAGAATCTAACTGGTCGGGTTATAGAAGCCTGAGCTCAGTCTATACAGAGTACGTGGTAGCCAGAGGGAAAGGCAGCATTTGTTTGGATGAGAAAATGTATTCCAGTTGGAATAAACTGCATCTGTGCACATAAACAGACAGAAAAGCATCCCATGCTTGAACTAATTTATATAACCAGAATAGATGGTATTTGTGATTGACGTCACAGAGCTAATCAGAAGCTCATGAGAACATTAAAATCACCAAGGAACCAGTATACTGGAGTCACAGACAGTGGGGTGCAGCTGTCATCCCAGTAGTGCTTGGGAGGATGAAGCTGGAGGATTTTTAGTTCACGACCAGCCTAGGGCATACCGTGAATTCCCTATCTCAAAAATAAATAAATATGAATATATATTAATTCATTTGTATAGCAATTACTTTATCTCATATGCAATACGATATAATATTTATATAATAATATGTTTACATATTAATTCTACCCATGCTTTGCACAATGGAGTACAGTAATCTTTTAGCTATAGGGACGACATCCCAATACCTCCAGTGGATACCTGATACCACAGATGTTATTGAACCCTACATACGCACGCGCACACTGCACCCATACCTGCAATAAAGTGTGATTTATAAAGACACAGTAAGAGATTAACGAGGACTAGTAATACCGTGCCCTAAATCCATGTGGTAAGTAGTGATGTGCCCAGATCGAAGACATGCCTTTGATCCCAGCACTTGGGAGGTAAAGGCACGCAGATCTCTGTGTGTTTGAGGCCACCCATAGTTTCAGGCCAGCCAGGGCGACACAGTGAGACCCTAGAAGAACAATTGAGTATTTTGTCCCCCTTCTCCAAGTGCCTTACTGTATTTTTCCTTAGGAGAAGCACGTTCCAGCTGCTCATAGGCATATCTTGAGTTTCTGGCATCGCCACATTGATGCTTTGAATGTGACTTGGTAAAAGTGACCTGCATCAAGCACCTGTTGCAATCCTGTGGTAAACGGATAATCCGTGGGGCCACTAAGTGACTAACATCCATAGTGCATACGGTACACCTAAATGGGATAAAGCGTGATTCATGTCCTGAGTTGCTCAGAACAGGACAATACGCAGTTTTGCCTCGTTACTCAGAACAGCGTGCAGTTCGGGTTCCAGGGCCCGGCATGATTAAAATAATTATCTGGTATTACTCTGGCTCAGCAGCAAGTGTTTGTCTCCTGCCATTACAGTAATGTCATCCCTCTGTTTCCAGCACCTCACTCCCCATCCAGTGTACCCACTAGCTTTGGATTACTCATAGCTTCTACTTACTCATCTTCTGTTTTCCTAAGATGGTCTACAGTTCCTTACAGCACCTCTGCCTTCTCTCGGTTATAACCTCAGAGAGTTTGCAACTGGGCAGCTCTTTGTGCCTCACACAGAGCTGAGAGGAACACCTAAGCACATAATTACTCTACATTTTTTGCTGTGTTCTCTTATGTTATTGACTGGCCTTTGTGATAATGGTTCTGAACAGCCATCTGCCTAGAATCTTAAGAACAGGAGCACTGGGCAGGGTGAAATGTTGTGATTGTTTTTGCAGAGAAGAATGAGAAGGGCAAAAGGAGAAGGATTCCGAAGGAGTAGAGTCCTCTACTCCAGATGCAAGTGCTACTTAAAAGAAGAAATAACATCAAGAGAGTGGGGGCAGGGCTCAGTGCCAAAGCATGAAACGTAGAGTGTGGACCCGTGTAAAAGGCGGACATGGTGGTACGCACCTGCGGTACCAGCATTGGAGAGGCTCCTTAGAGTCCCTGGCTAGCAGGTCTGTCCGACTTTGGGCTCTGTGAGAGACCCTGTCTGAGAAATAAAATGGAGAAGAGAGAGGGGAGGACATCCCACATCAACCTCTAGCCGCCACAGTCAGATGACCCCATTTACACATGGAGAGAGAGACAGAGGGAAGAAAGGAAGGGAAGAAGGAGAGAAAGGAAGGGGGGAAAGAGAGAGAGAGAGAGAAAGAAAAAGAAAAGAAAGAAAGAAAACCCAAACACCTGTTTGATCTTGAAACAGAGTTAGGTAGAAAGAAGTCTGCGAGAACTAGCTCTCTGGTTTCTTGCGTAGAAGTTGATGGGCAGTAGAGGGATGTATGGGGGTAGATGTTGATGGGCAGTAGAGGGATGTAAGGAAGTCCTTCTGCACACTGTGGAAGAGAGGAAAGGAGACTTCACTGCAGTTCCGAGTCTGCGGAGCCTGAGCATGAGGCATGAGGCAGTGTGAGCATTTAGAATATAGAAATGGAGCTAACCAGACGAAGTGAAAGTTCATGTTAAATAACTCAGGCAAAAGGTTGGCTGTTGAGGTAACTGACCGTGGCAGATGAGGGGGAGCCAGGCCTAAAGAACATGTGTCTGTCTCTCTCAAAGGCTCCCCCTGGATTGGCTTAAGCAAGATGGGGGAGTTGACTCTGGTCAGCTCTGAGCAGTTAGCCTGCCCAGCAGAAATGGCTGGCTCATCCAGCTTCAATATGG